GTTCCTTTTATATGGTGACTTATAGTGAAATTTGACGAGCAATAATCTCGTCCTTGACATCATCCTTCTAAAATCATGCTTTGTCGGAGTTGTTGGCATAAACTTACTTTGACCCCAAAATGTGTTTTTCATATATGTTATTAATCCTCGATGAAATCTCCCAGGATATTTTTAAAATAATTCAGAACTTCAAAAAATATTTTTTTTTTTAAAAAATCCCGGACCCTAAATATCTGAATATTATAATACATTTGGAAACAAAAATTGGAATTCAAGGCCCCACGTTTTTTCCATCTTTGTTTTTTTTTTTTTTTGTCCTTCAAAATCCTGAACAAGGAAATGAATATTGTTGTTAGTTTCCTTCTAAGCTATTGTTGTTGTAGTATTTGCTCTTGTTCTTTGTTATGGCCATTATGCCTTGTCCATGTTGTCCGGAGATTGTTCCGGCTGAGCAACGCTGCTTTGTTATTGCGAGTGAGTGAGGGAGTGTGCGGGCGTGTATGTGTGTGTGTGCAGTGGTGACTTTGGATTTAGATTCAAGTGTTAGACATTTAATGCAATAATTCGCGCCATTACATCCAGTTTTATTGTTGTTATTGTCCTTTGGAAGGATTCAAACGGTTGGCGTGTCTCTGTCTGTTCGGCGATTTCTTTTTATTTCTTTTTATTCAATTCAGTTGAGCGAACTTGCAAGGATTGCACAAGGATATGCTCCAGCACAGCCCGTGCTTCCAGATGTGTGCGGGTGTGTGTGCCTGTGCCCGTCAAGACATTTTATGGTTTAATGAAACAAGAACAAAAAAAAACACACACAAAAGCAAAAACTGTCACAGGCCTATGCCTTGTTATAGGCAAAGTTCTGCTTCCAGGTCTCCTTCTTCCTTCCCCCGTCCAAATTCATAAAAATTCAATTGCTTTTGGTCATAGCTATTTGCAGTATTTACAATTCCCTTTGCCCACAGAGGAAAGATAGTGGAGAGCAAAAAAAACACAGCCTAAATTGGGGCTAAAACACAGCTGCGCTTCGCCAATAAAAATCAGAGTCGGAAATAAAATCCATTTTTTGTTTGCACCTAAAAAAAACCTATTTTTATTACTAGGAGCAAGTCCGCCACCTCGTCAGCGAAAAGTCCACCTTAAAATTTTAGATTCAGCGCAACAGTTCGTGTTAGGCCTTTTTAGTACTCAAAAGTCGTTTCCTTTTTCGGAAAGAATAATAGGAAACTGTTTACCTTCTATACCTAAAAATCTTCAAAATCACTCATTTTGAGGTTAACCTAGGAGGATATTATCAAGACCATTGCATAATGGACCCACATCCAACGATTCTGTCCAAAACTATTTCAACTTCGCCGTATGCAGCAGCCAACAGTGACCTCAATACTATCTCTTCACCCAATAACCGACTCAGTACCATTTAGTACTTTTCGTACAAATATAGGAGGCATTTCTAAAACGACCTCCATATCTTATCTCCAGATCCCAACAGAGACCTCAATATGAAATTTCGGAATGTCAGTTATATTCCATCACCCAATTCCAAATTTAGTACTCTTTAGTACTTTTTGTACAATTATGGAACACATTTTCGAGACCACCTCCATATCTCAATTTCAGATACCAACAGCTTTATACCCTTCACCCAACACCAAATTTAGTAATTCGCCCAAATTCCCAATTTAGTACTTTTAGTACAGTTATGGAACACATTTCCTAGACAACCTCCATATCTCAATTCCAGATACCAATAGAGACCTCAATATTAAATTTGTGGATTCCAGACCTATCTTTTCAGTCCAAACCAAATTTAGTACCATTTAGTACTATTCGTATAAATATAGGATACATTTTCAAAATGACCGGAAAACCTCAGTTTCCAGACAGCAACAGAGAGCTCAATATCATATTGGAGGTTTCCAGTTATACCCTTCATCCAATACCCCATTTTGGTACCACTTAGTACTTTTCCTTTAATTTTAGTACTCATCTCCACCTCTAAATCTTAACAACAAACAGCAACAGTAAAATTTATATCAAACTTCAAGATTTCAACCCTATTCCTTCACCCAATAACAAATTTTGTACAATTTAGTACTTTTCGTACACTTAAAGTACACATTTCCAAATCTAGCTCCATAAGTAAATTTTAGATAACAACAGTGAGCTCAATATCAAATTTCGGAATTTTGTGCTATATTCCGTCAGCCAATACCAAACTTAGTACTATTTAGTACTTTTCGTACAATTATAGTACACAATTCAAACATGATTTATTTTTATTCCAGATACTAACAGAGACCTCAATATTAAATTTTGAGGATTCCAGACCTATCCCTTCAACCCCAACCAAATTTAGTACGATTTAGTACTTTTCGTACAATTATGGTACACATTTCCACACCACCTCCAAATCTCGATCAGAGACTCTATTAGTAACCTTAAAAATTTAATTTGAGAATATTATCTCAATCCCTTCACTGAATACCAAATTTGTTACGATTTAGTACTTTCCGTACAATTATAGTAGACATTTCCGTAATCACCTCCATATGTCCAGGCGACACATGAACATGAACATGAACCGCTAATATCAAATTTCACATTTCAAGTACTATCTGTTCACCCAGTACCAAATTGTACAAAATATCGTACTATTTTGCAATTTTCGAACAATTATGGTACAGATTTCCAAAATTATCCCCATATCTTAACCACAGACCCCAATAGTGGCATCTTTATTAAATTTCAGAATTTCAGCTATATCCCTTCACCCCAAATCAAATTTAGTACGAATTAGTACTTTTCGTACAACTATAGTGCATATTTCCAAACCACCGCCAAATCTCGAACAGAGACACTAAGAGTAACCTTAAAAATTGAATTTGAGAATATTATCTCCATCCCTTCACTGAATACCAAATTTGGTACGATTTAGTACTTTTCGTATAATTATAGTACACATTTCCGAAAACACCTCCATATGTCCAGGTGACACATGAACCGTGGCTCTAATACCAAATTTCAGATTTTAAGTACTATCTATTCACCCAGTACGAAATTGTACCAAATATCGTACTATTTAGTAATTTTCGAAAAATTATGGTCCATATTTCCAAAACTATCCCCATATTTTAAACACAGACCTCAATAGTGACATCTTTATTCAATTTCAGAATTTCAGCTATATCCCTTCACCCCAAATCAAATTTAGTACGATTTAGTACTTTTTGTACAATTATGGCACACATTTCCACACCACCGTCTAATCTAAAACACAGATACTATTGGTAACCTAGAAATTGAATTTCAGAATTTAATCTCCATTCCTTCACCCACTACCAGATTTGGTAATTATGTACTTTTCGTACAATTTTTATACGAATTTCGATTACGTACCTTTCGTACAATTATGGCACACATTTCCACACCACCGCCAAATCTAAGACACATATATACTATAAATAACCTAAAAATTGAATTTCGGAATTTAATCTCCATCCCTTCACAAATAACCAAATTTGGTACAATTAAGTACTTTTCGTACAATTATTGTACGAATTTCTAAAAACCACCTCCAAATGTATAGGCTACACATGAACAGCAAACCTAATGCCAAATTTCAGATTTCAAGCACCATCTGTTCACCTAATTCCAAATTGTACCAAATTTAGTACCATTTGGTAAATTTAGTACACATTTGGTAAACTTAGTACACATTTTCAAAACCACATCTCATTTAGCAAATTTACAAACCAACATTGATTTTCAAGTTTTTACTTTTATCCGTTCACATAATACCAAATGGTACGATTTTTGAAGTTTTGTACCATTTCAGAACTTTTCGTAACCCTATCGTGCGAATTTCCAAAAACTCTTTGTTATGTATGTATTCTGCATTTTTCAAATATCAGAATCCCAGCTCCATCGGATTCTCGCTCCATCCGTTCCTCCAAAATCAATTTGTACTAAATTTAGTACCATTTAGTACTTTTCGTATACATGAGTATACACATCCCAAACTACCTCCTTACATCGACTCTACTTCTCAACCTGGATTCCCCGCATTCCAAATTTCAAGTTTTTAACTTCAACTGTTCTCCTGATACGAAGTGGTACCAAATGTGGTACATTTTAGTACTTTTAATCCAAAAAATCCACGTCATTGGCCTGCGAAAGTAAAATGCCGAAAACTTCCTCCATATCTCAAGCCTACACTATGCCAGTAATGTTAATTTTAAATTTCAGGATTCCCGCTCCATCCGTTCCTCCAAAATCAAATTGTACTAAATTTAGTACCATTTAGTACTTTTCGTATACATGAGTATATACATTCCAAACTATCTGCTTACATCGACTCTACTCCTCAACCCGGATTTCCCGCATTCCAAATTTCAAGTTTTTAACTTCAACTGTTCTCCTGATACGAAGTGGTACCAAATGTGGTACATTTTAGTACTTTTAATCCAAAAATCCATGTCATTGGCCTTCGAAAGTAAAATTTCTAAAACTTCCTCCATACCTCAAGCCTGCACTCCGCCATTAATGTTGATTTTAAATTTCACGATTCCCGCTCCATCCGTTCCTCCAAAATCAAATTGTACTAAATTTAGTACCATTTAGTACTTTTCGTATACATGAGTATACACATCCCAAATTACCTCCAAACATCGACTTTGCTTCTCATCCTGGATTCCCCGCATTCCAAATTTCAATTTTTTAACTCCAACCGTTCTCCTGTTACGAAGTGGTACCAAATGTGGTACATTTTAGTACTTTTAATCCAAAAATCCATGTCATTGGCCTTCGAAAGTTGTTATGCATTTCAAGACAGGTGTAATATTTAAATAAACATTAATTTTATTTAAACAAAAAAATATTTTATCATCTCAAAATCAACAAAAGATCTGTGACATCATGGGCCGGATGATAAGGAAACCCATGGCCAGATAAGAACGCAAAGCAAAAAAACCTCTGCATTTAAATTGGCAAACCCTTTCGAAGATCTGATCACTTCATTCTGCACATTACGAGAGATAAGCAACGGCTCAGCGCAAGCATGAACGGGCAAGAGTTTCTGTTGGTAATTCTATCACTGGCCAGCCATGCCTATGGCCTAGGTGCAGCACACCCATCATCAGCATCGTCTCCCAGCCCCTACATGGCCCCCAAAGATTTCAACTACGATGGACGGATTGTGGGCGGTGAAGTGACCACAATATTATCGTATCCCTTCCAGGTGTCCGTACAGCATCAAGGCTCCCACATCTGTGGCGGTTCCATATTGGCAGCCAATATCATTCTCACGGCTGCCCACTGCCTGGAATTTCCCAAGGCTGTGAAACAGTATCGCATTCGTGCCGGTTCCAGTTCCCATTCGCAGGGCGGTCAGATAATGGGCATCCGTCGGATTCTCATCCATGAAGCCTATAATCTCAACGATGTCAATTGTGATGTGGCCCTAATGTTGTTGAGCGGTAATTTGTCTTTTTCACGCCAGGTGCGAGCCATAGACCTGCCTCGGCCTGGCGCCCAAGTACCCAGCCGTTCGAAACTCTTTGTCAGTGGTTGGGGTTTGACAAGTGAGACGGGTGCCATCTCGCCGACACTCAATCACGTTGCCGTCCAGTTGCTAGACCAGGGAGAGTGTGCCGAGAGTTATCGTTACATTGCCGACATAACACCGCAGATGTTTTGTGCCGGTCTGCCCGATGGGGGCAAAGATAGCTGTCAGGGGGATTCGGGTGGTCCATTGATCAGCTATGTTGAGGCCTCACCCTCCACTGCGGCCATACGACCAAAGCAAACAGCCAACTCCAGCATCATCACCACAGCCACCAGGCCCATTCAATATGGCATTGTATCGTTTGGTGTGGGTTGTGCCCAGAAGGGATATCCCGGTGTCTACGCCAAAGTTGCGGCTCTGCGGTCCTGGATCGATGCCAAGATGAAACTATTGACAAAATCTAGTTAGAAGTTCATTTCAGAATCCAAATAAATAAAATCTCCAATTTAAGAAAATATGCAAAAGAGTTGTAAAACAAATGACTGATTGACCTGACGTTACGTCTAAAGCTAAAATCCTGAAAAATTTGTACAAGGTTCAGCCATTGGTGTTTGGTAAAAGGATGCGAAAAGTACTTTGTATGGGGAAAAACGAAGTGGGCTAGAATTCGGAAATTTGACATGAGAGTCACTCACATGGAGTGCAGGATAGATGCGCCAAAGGGTCTTTGGAAATGCGTTCTCTAAGGTTACGAAAAGTTCCAAAATGGTACCAAACTTCTAATCGGGTACCATTTTGTCTTGTGTGAAGCGGTAGAGCTAAGAGTTAGAAATTTTGGAATGAGAATCAGGGTTTGGAAAGAGATTCTGATACATGAAATGTGTACTACAAGTGCCCAAAAAGTACCAAATAGTACTATATTTGGTACAATGTGGTATTTTTGGGGAGAACGGATATTGCTTGAAATTTGAAACTAGATATTACGATCACCGTTCATGATTGGCCTGGTAGATTTGGATATGGAAAAGTACTAAAAAGTAATTTTGGATTTAGAGGTTAACGAAAAGTACGAAATAGTACGAAAATTGCTATTAGGTTAGGGGATAGAGCTGAAATCCCGAAATTTGATATTCAGGATCCTGGTATCTGGTTTTATCTGGTAGCTACCTGGAATTAAGATATGGAGGTTATATTGGTAATGGTAATTGGTACTAAATTGTACGAAAAGTACTAAATAGTACTAAATTTGGTAGTGGGAGAAATAAAAGGGCCGAAATCCTGAAATTTGATATCAAGACCACTATTGGAAACTAAACTATACAAATTGAGATATGGAGATCATTTTGGAAATGTGTACTATAATTGTACGAAAAGTACTAAATAGTACCTAATTTGGTATTGGGTGAAGGGATAGGGCTGTAATCCCGAAATTTTAATATTGAGGTCTGGAATTGAGATATGGAGGTCATTTTGGATATGTGTACTAAAATTGTACATAATGTACTAAATAGTACCTAATTTGGTATTGGGTGAAGGGATAGGGCTGTAATCCCGAATTTTGATATTGAGGTCTGGAATTGAGATATGGAGATCATTTTGGAAATGTGTCCCATAATTGTACGAAATGTACTAAGCAGTGCCAAATTTAGACCTATAATTTTACGAAAAGTACTAAGTAGTACTAAATTTGGTAATAGGTATAGAACTAAGGCTAAAATCCTGAAATTTGACAGAGATGTCACTATGTTGATGTATGTTGTTAAAATATGGAGTTGGAGTTTTGCAAATGTGTACTATATTTGTACCAAAACCACTAAGTGGTACTAAATTGGGTATAGGGTGAAGATATAGGGCTGGAATCCTCAAATTTGGCAATGAGGTCTCTGCTGGCATCTAGAATTGAGATATGGAGGTGATTTTGGATAGGTGTTCTATAATTGTACAAAAAGTACTAAATAGTACCAAATTTGGTGTTGGGTAACAAAATAAAGCTGAAATGTTGAAATTTGATATTGAGGGGCGCTGTTGGTATGTGGAATTGAGATATAAAGGAATTTTGGGAAATATGTACTAAATTGTACGAAAAGTACTAAATAGCACCTAATTTGGTATTTAGCGAATGGATAAAGCTGAAACCGTGAAATTTGATATGGATGTCACTGTTGGTGTCTGTGATTGAGAAAAGGAGCTGGTTTTGCATATGCGTACTATAATTGTACTAAATTGTACCAATTTTGGTAGTAGGGGGCATTAAAGAGCTGGAATCCTCAGATTTAATATTGAGGTCTCTGTTGGTATTTGGAATTGAGATATGGACGTTTTTTTGGCAATGTGTACTATAATTGTACAAAAAGTACTAAAGTGGAACATTTCAATGAGTCTCATCATTCTCCTTGCTGGGGTGAAATCATGATCAACAAATATTGCCATATCGTTTTGGAAAAAAAAAATAATTTTCTCTCTAATGGAAAGTAGTATTAAGTTGAACCAATGGTGGAATGCTGCCGACCGAAGCTATCGATAAACAAGTAAAAAAGCTGTAAGTTCGGCCAGGCCGAACTTTTAATACTCTCCACCATTTGGTACAATTTTGGCAATTTAAAAAAAAAAAAAAAAAACAAAAAAAAAATCCATTAAAAATTCTGTTAAAATCTTAAAAATACCGAATGCCTATATGACGACGTGGACCTGCATAGGCATTTTTTGTCATAAGTTATTACAATATTTAAATGCGAAATTTGAAGAAAAATCTGTTTATAATGTAGCTAAAATCATCAAAATACCGAATATCGGGGGGTACCGTTATATGGGGGCTATACGAAGACGTGGACCTGCACAGACAATTTTCTGTCTTAGGCTGTAACATCCATTACGAACTTCAAATACAAAATTTGAATCAAATCCGGTGAATAATGTCGCTAAAATCATCCAAATACCGAATATCGGGAGGTACCGTTATATGGGGGCTATATGAAGACGTGGACCTACATGGCCCATTTTCTGTCTTATGTTGTAGTATCTATTACAAACTTCAAATACCAAATTTGAAAGAATTCCGTTAAATAATGTCGCTAAAATCATCAAAATACCGAATATTGGGGGCTACCGTTATATGGGGGCTATATGAAGACGTGGACCTACATGGCTCATTTTTTGACTTAAGCTGTAGTATCCATTGCGAACTTCAAATACCAAATTTGAAACAGTTCCGGTGAATAATGTCGATAAAATCATCCAAATACCGAATATCGGGAGGTACCGTTATATGGGGGCTAAACGAAGACGTGGACCTGCACAGACAATTTTCTGTCTTAGGCTATAGTATCTATTACGAACTTCAAATACCAAATTTGAAACAATTCCGGTAAATAATGTCGCTAAAATCATGAAAATACCGAATATCGGGAGGTACTGGTATATGGGGGCTATACGAAGACGTGGATCTGCACAGACAATTATCTGTCTTAGGCTATATTATGTATTACGAACTTCAAATACCAAATTTGAAACAATTCCGGTGAATAATGTCGCTAAAATCATCCAAATACCGAATATCGGGGGGTACCGTTATATGGGGGCTATACGAAGGCGTGGACCTACATGGCTCATTTTTTGACTTAGGATGTAGCATCCATTGCGAACTTCAAATACCAAATTTGAAAGAGTTCCGGTGAATATTGTCGCTAAAATCATCAAAATACTGAATATCGGGAGGTACTGGTATATGGGGGCTATACGAAGACGTGGATCTGCACAGACAATTTTCTGTCTTAGGCTATAGTATCTATTATGAACTTCAAATACCAAATTTGAAACAATTCCGGTAAATAATGTCGCTAAAATCATCAAAATACTGAATATCGGGAGGTACTGGTATATGGGGCCTATACGAAGACGTGGATCTGCACAGACAATTTTCTGTCTTAGGCTATATTATGTATTACGAACTTCAAATACCAAATTTGAAACAATTCCGATAAGTAATGTCGCTAAAATCACCCAAATACCGAATATCGGTAGGTACCGTTATATGGGGGCTATACGAAGACGTGGACTTACATAGCCCATTCTCTGTTTTATGCTGCAGCATCTACTACGAACCTCAAAATACCAAATTTGAAACAATTCCGTTAAATAATGTCGCTAAAATCATCAAAATACCGAATATCGGGAGGTACCGTTATATGGGGGCTATACGAAGACGTGGACCTACATGGCTCATTTTTTGACTTAGGCTGTAGTATCCATTGCGAACTTCAAATACCAAATTTGAAACAGTTCCGGTGAATAATGTCGCTGAAATCATCCAAATACCGAATATCTTGAGGTACCGTTATTTGGGGGCTATATGATAACTTGGACCTACATAGCCCATTTACGAACTTAACCTGCCTACTGGCAAAATATACATGTGTGCAAAAATTTAGCCTTCTATCTCAAGTTGTTCGAAAGATAGCGTGATAACAACAGACAGAGGGACATGGCTAAATCGACTTAGAATTTTACGCTGATCAAGAATATATATACTTTCTTGGGTCTGACATGAGAATTTCGAGGAGTTACAAACGGAATGACAAAATGAATGTACCGTACATAGTTTGGTGGAGGGTATAGAAACATTGTTTTTAAGTTTTGAAAATAGTTATCAACAGGGTTTGTCCGGTGCTGGGGTTGCATATATAAATGTGGATGTGTATTGGCATTCTTTCTTTCAGTATTTCTTATTATTTTTCCGGAAATTGTTGTTATTGTTGTCGTATTAAATGTGGGTGTATATCGGCATTCTTTCGGTATTATTTATTATTTTTCCGGAAACTGTTGTCGTATTTTTTTCTTTTTTTAAATTTTATCACAAAAAAATTTTGTTTCGTAACAAACGCACTGTGGGCTATATGCAATCTCATTGAGTTACATTTAATATGGCAGATATTTTTTAGCGTATCTTTTATGCAGCTAATAATTTCTATTGTGAAAAAAATAAAACAAATATTTTTTTAGTTTTTTTTTTAGATTTTTTTATTTTTTCTAGATTTTGGCCACTGTGCCAGTTTCCTGTCCAACAAAAGACTTTCTGAAACTCTCCGGCAATTTAAATTCATTATAAGTTGGAATCTCCAAGCGACATGTTGCAACTCATACTTGTGCTGGGTCTATACTTGCTTGCTACCGCAACCGGCTCAACCATACCAACTCTTGTAAGTAAATTATTGGAGGATAATGCAGATAGTTGTAATTCCTTTCTCCCCCTACCCCCTGTCAATAGATCGAATCCGATGCTGAAAACCGAACACCATGCAATGTGGAAAATACGCAACGAAATCTCGAAATATTGAATTTGACTTTAATGAGCACTAATAACAAATTGGATAATCCTGAAAACCGGTTCGAGCAAATTTTCAACGAAATGGACAAATGGAAAAATTCAAGTGAGATATCACTCTCGCGGGATCGTAATCAATTCACACTTCAGTTTCAGAAATCTGTGAATGTAACGAATGATGAGCATTGGGTCGATCATAGAGATGAGGAGAAAATCTATTTTACGGACATTTGGGAGAATGGTAAGCGGGGATATGCTTGAAAAAAAAAAAAAAAATCAATGAAAAAAAGCTGTAATGTTGCCGCATATTAGGGTCTATCCGACGACGTGGACCTACATACGCAAAATTTTGTCATAAGCCTGCACAGACCATTTTCTGGCATAGGCTGTAGTATCCATTACGAACTTTAAATACAAAATTTGACATAATCCCGGTAAATAATGTCGCTAAAGTCATGAGAATACCGAATATGGGGAGGTACCGTTATATGGGGGCTATACGAAGGCGTGGGCCTGCACAGACAATTTTCTGTCGTAGGCTAAAGTATCCATTACGAACTTCAAATACCAAAATTCAAACAATTCCGGTAAAAAATGTCGATAAAATCATCGAAATACTGAATATACGGGTGGTACTGTTACGTTGGGGCTATACGAAGACGTGGACCTACATGGCTTATTTTCTTTTTTATGCTGTAGTATCTATTACAAATTTCAAATACCGAATTTGAAACAATTCTGGTAAATAATGTCGCTAAAATCATGAAAATACCGAAAATCGGGAGGTACCGTTATATGGGGGCTATACGAAAACGTGGACCTACATGGTTAATTTTTTGACTCAGGATGTAGTATCCATTACGAACTTCAAATACCCAATTTGAAATAGTTCCGGTTAAAAATGTCGCTAAAATCATCAAAATACCGAATATGGGGGGTTCCGTTATATGGGGGATATACGAAGACGTGGACCTACATGGCCCATTTTCTGTTTTGTGCTGTAGTATCTATTACGAACTTTTAATGCCAAAATTGAAACAATTCCGGCAAATAATGTCGCTAAAATCATCAAAATACCAAATATACGGGGGGTACCGTTACGTGGGGGCTATACGAAGACGTGGACCTGCATGGCCCATTTTCTGTCTTAGGCTGTAGTATCCACTACAAACTTCAAATACCCAATTTGAAATAGTTCCGGTAAGAAATGTCGCTAAAATCATCAAAATACCGACTATGGGGGGTTCCGTTATATGGGGGCTATACGAAGACGTGGGCCTACATGGCCCATTTTCAATATCAAATGTCCTGCAAACATAATATATATTTGAGTAAAATTTTATCAACCTACTTCATTTCGTTCGGAAGCTAGAGTGATTTCCACAGACGGACCTATCGACCTAGTCAAATGTCAACAGAGACCTCAATATCAAATTTGAGGATTCTAGCTCTATTGCTTAACCCAATGCCAGATTTAGTACTACTTAGTACATTTCGTACAATTATAGTACATATTTCGAAAACCATGTCCATATCTCAATTCCAGATACCAACATAGACCCGAATATCAAATTTGAGGGTTCCAGACCTATCAATGCACCTAATACCAGATTTAGTACCACTTAGTGCTTTTCGTACAATTATAGTACATATTTCGAAAACCATCTCCATATCTCAACTACAGACAACAACTGTGACATCCATATCAAATTTCAGCAGTTTATCTCTTTAATTTCCCCCCTTACCAAATGTAGTACTATTTAGTACTTTTGGTACAATTATAGTACACATTTACCATCACCATATTTTAACTCGAGATACCAACAGGGAACTTAATATCAAATTTGAGGATCAGAGGCCTATCCCTTTACCCAATACCAGATTTAGTACCACTTAGTACCTTTCGTACAATTATAGTACACATTCCGAAAATCATCTTCATATCTCAATTCCAAATACCAATACACATTTGCAAAACAACCTCCATATCTCAATTCCAGATACCAACATAGACCGCAATATCAAATTTGAGGATTCCAAGCCTATCCCTTCACCCAATACCAGATTTAGTACCACTTAGTACCTTTCGTATTATGTACCAAATGATTCCCTTTCCTTTTAATTTTCAGATGAACCAAAAGTCTGCAAAGTAAATAATTCGACCAATCTTGTATGGTAAGTGTTTCAATTGTTCATAATTGACATTGGCTTCATCACCCCCCCCCCCCCCCCCCTCCCATTTTTCTAGTTCGAAACTATCGCTCAGCGAAACCTGTGCCGATTCGAATGCCATAAATTGTCGCGGCAATCAGTGTCGCATCAAAAACCACATCTATGGACCCAAGTCATTTTGGGTGACATGCGATGGCGATTGGACAATCATACAGAGACGCATGGACGGTTCCGTCGATTTCCAACGCAACTGGCAGAGCTACAAGGAGGGCTTCGGCGATTTGGATGGTGAATTTTGGCTGGGTTTGGAGAAAATTCACTCGCTGACCGCTCTCTACGGCGGCACTGAACTCATGATTGAAATGCAAGATTTTGACAATGTCTGGCGACAGGCCTATTACGAGTCCTTTCGGGTGGGAAATGAAACGACTAAATATCTTCTAGAGCGAAAGGGTAGCATTCAATCAACAGCAGGAGATTCTTTCACAATACACAGTGGTGAAATGTTTTCCACCCATGATAGCGACAACGATAAAAATTCGGGCAAAAATTGTGCCTCCGTCCTGAGGGGAGCGTGGTGGTATTATAAATGCGATTTGAGGTAGGTGAAAAAAGGTTAATCGCAGTTTTTTTTCTTTCTTTCTTTTAACCGATTTGGATATTTATCTCAACAGCCAGGATATAAGCAATCTAAATGGGTTCTATTACAATTTGAGTGTGGTTCCGGCAGAGAAGCCCGCTAGCGGCATTGTCTGGAAAACCTTCCGTGGAGCAAGGTATTCACTGAAATTTGTCCAGATGAAAATCAGGCCCAAAAAGTTGTAATTAAAATTATTTGAAAAAAATAAATAAATAAAAAAATAAATATATACACAGGGTGCGATGGAAAAACTGCAACATAGACAGACGCCATATTTATTTACATTTTTTCAAAAATAAAAAATTATTGAATGAAAGCAAAAAATGTCGGAAATAGCATCAAATTTTAGATTAAGTTTAGATTTGTTCGAATTGATCAGCTTTGGCACGAATTATGGCCTTCTAACGGCCACACGCTGCCCGAATGTTGCTCTGCGGTATTTTGGCCTATTCCCAGCGAAACGCTTGCTTGAGGTGATTGACCCTTTGATATTTTTTAGTGCCAACCTTGCTCTCCAAAATACTCCAGACACAATAGTCCAAAGGATTGGTATCCGGAAATTTTGCTGGCCATTGTGCACTGGAAATCAAGCGAGGAACCTCATTTTGTAAACATTCTGCGATGGTGCCTGGAGTCCCATTGGAATGTCCAAGGTCTGCGGCCTTTAATACACACTCCAGAATATTTTCGACATAATATTCGCAATTATTATAATGCCTTGGTCGTTTAATACGAGCGGAGAGCGACCATCGGCTGTTATGGCGGCCAACACCATTACCATGGCCGGCGCTTGAATGGTCTGGTGGCCAACCGAAGGTGCACATTTTCAGCTGACCCCTTTGGCACGATAAACACGATCATTTGTTCGTTTGTTTACAAACTGCAGGACAACGAATGTCTTCTCATCGGAGAAAACCAAATTCGGCTGTTCACCTCTTTTGAGTCTATTTTCTTTCTCTGTTGCGGTGTAAGTTCTGGCACTTTTTATACCCTCCGCCATTCTATGGAGGGTATATTAACTTTTGTCATTCATACCGGAATCGTTTGTAACTCCTCGAAATATTCATAAGTCGAGACCCTATAAACTATTTATATATTCTGGATCAGCGTAAAATTCTAAGGCGATCTAGCGATATCCGTCTGTCTGTCAGTCCGTCTGCATACCTCCCGACATTACCGGAATTATTTAAAATTTCGTCTTTAAAAAATTTCCGTATGCAGGTGCAAGTCTTCGTATAGCCCCCATATAACGGTACCTCCCGACATTCGGTATTTTGATGATTTTAGCGACACTATTTGCCGGAGCTATTTCAAATTTAGTATTTGAAGTACGTAATGAATACTACAGCCTATGACAGAAATTTGTCTGTGCAGGTCCACGTCTTCTTAAAGTCCCCATATAACGGTACCTCTCGATATTCGATATTTCGATGATTTCCGGAACATTATTCACCGGAATCGTTTCAAATTTCGTACTGGAAAATCCTAAAGGGGTACTACAACCCATGGCAAAAAAAAATTTATGCAGGTCCACGTCTTCGTAAAGCCCCCATATAACGGTACCTTCCGATATTCAATATTTTGATGATTTCCGGAACATTATTCACCGGAATTGTTTCAAATTTCGTACTGGAAAATCCTAATGGGTGCTACAGCCCATAGCAAAAATTTTTGTATGCAGGTGCAAATCTTCGTGAAGCCCCTATATAACGGTACCTCCCGATATTCGATATTTTGATGATTTCCGGAACATTATTCACCGGAATCGTTTCAAATTTCGTACTGAGAAATCCTAAAGGGTACTACAACCTATGGCAAAAAAAAAATTTATGCAGGTCCACGCCTTCGTATAGCCCCCATATAACGGTATCTCCCGATAGTCGGTATTTTGACGATCTTTCAGTAACATTATTCACCGGAATCGTTTCACATTTCGTACTGGAAAATCCTAAAGGGGTACTACAACCTATGGCAAAACAAATGTATATGCAGGTTCAGATCTTCGTATAGCCTCCATATAACGGTACCTCCTGACAGTCGGTATTTTGACGATCTTTCAGTAACATTATTAACCGGTATCGTTTCAAAAGTTCGTATTGAAAGATATCAAAGGCTGCTACCACTTATGGCAAAAAAAATTTCGTATGCAGGTCCACGTTTTCGTATAACCTCCATGTGACGGTACCTCCCGAACTTAGTATTTTCATGATTTTTGACAAAAAAAAAAATTTGTATGCAGGTCCACGTCTTCGTATAGGTTTTCATTTAAGTCGCATTTTTCGGAATTTTTTTAAAATTTTTAAATTTTCCTTCAAAATTGTGGAGGGTATTAACAGTTCGGCCCGGCCGAACTTAGCTGCTTTTTTTTACTTGTTCTCACCAAAATGCTTTCCATGCAGGTCCACGTCTTCGTATAGGTTTTCATTTAAGTCGCATTTTTCGGAATTTTTTTAAAATTTTTAAATTTTCCTTCAAAATTGTGGAGGGTATTAACAGTTCGGCCCGGCCGAACTTAGCTGCTTTTTTTTACTTATTTTCACCAAAATGCTTTTGTGTGTTTGTAAACAATATAATGAGCTATCACAGGAATAATTTTAACAGCTGTCGGACGAGTGGCTTAGAAATGACGGCAGGCTGAAGTTGGTTGCAGTTTTTTCATCTCACCCTGTAAAGGCCGAATTAAATAACCAAAAATCAGAAAAAAAATATATTTTTTATTTTTGTTCTTTTTCTAACAATTTTTATTGTTTAAATAAATTTGTCTAAATAAATTAATTGCCCAAAATGTCCGCTTTGTTTTCCTGGGGTCCTCTCTCTCTCTCTCTCACACACACATCCCCTCATTGTTTGATCAAAACTTCGTAATCGCTGATGCGTATCTCTCGCCCGCCATAGGGTATGAACAAACACCGCTGACTGACGGACACCAGACCGGGTGTCAAACTGCCATGATGATGGCCACGTCCCACAAACAAGGGCTCTCCATTGCGGGAACGTCCCGTGAATACAGCATTTGGTGGTATTACATGGTGATGGGGTTTGATCCAGGCATATCCAGGTCCACACAATACCTCGTGGTTGCGTTTATTGATTTCATAGCCACCATAGCAGACATAGGCACAACCTTTGCTGGGTATGATTTTGGCAGGTAACAGTTCTCCCTCGTGCATGGCCCGACCCACATAGATGACAGCGCGATCTGTGTCATGGCCAGCCACAACGGCTCCGGGCGGTGTGTAATTGGGGGTGGCGGCCACCCAATTGTTGATGTGTTCAAAGACCAAAACCTCATATGTGTTCAGACGGATCTCCTGGCCACCGAACGGTATGTAGAGACAACCATGGGAGGGATGGATTTTGCCGACGCACAGCGAATTGGAATAATGTCCTCGGCCAACATACAATGGCTCTCCGGTACGGGTCAGGCCACTGCGCACAGCATTTGGTGGTACGGCTCCATTATAGCAGGGTTGCCAGCCATAACCCTGGCCCACCAAAACTTCATAGTTGTGTTTGGGGATCTCCAAACCACCCCAGCAAATGTAGGCCTGGCCCTTGCTGGGCACAACCTTGGCCGGCAGATTATCGCCCTCGTGCATCGCCCGTCCCACATACATGGGTGAGCCGTCGCAGTCGTGGCCACCGATAACGGCAAATGGTGGCAGAGGGGCAGCAGGTGCCGAGTAAACCCATGTAGTTTCTAGAAGGGGGAGGAAAAAAATTGCAAAACAAAATGACATGAAATTATGGCATCAATCATCGGGAATTAAAGGAGGGGGGGGGGGGGGGGCTCCAAAAGAAACCAGAATAAATTGGAAAAGCTACATAAATTCCAAGAATTTGTTTTATTTACTCCGTTATGAGTTATTTGCCATTGCCATTCGCAGATAAGGAGCCTAGTATGGTGTCGTGCGTTTCGTGTGAGTGCGGTGCGGTGGCGAAGGGGTAGGGGGTGCAGCTGTTAATAAGTATAAATAAATATCGTGCAGTGTGGAAACAAATACCTACGATTTACACCTCCAGGGTGATAAGAACCTAAAAAAAACAACAACAATAACAGAAAACACACAAATTAAACAAAAAACAATAAAAGTGCTCAAGACAAACACATAATAAAATATAAGTGCAGAACATAACGAATTAAAATCCAATTTCTTTGTGGTTGGCATAAAATGATAAAATAATCGAAAAAAAAATAATTTTAAAATTTTTTATTGTTTTTTTTTTTTTAAAGGTGGATAAGGTACTGCATTGTACAAATAGTCTACATTGGTAAAATATTTTTAAGATTTTTTATTTATTTATTTATTTTTTTTTTTTTGAGGGTATTTTTTTTGAGGGTGGATAGGGTTTGGGATTGGTACAATATTTTTTACATTTTTTATTTTTTTTTTTAGGGTATTTTTTGAGGTTGGATAGGGTACTACATTGGATAAATAGTACTATATTGGTACAATATTTTTTAGATTTTTTATTTATTTATTTATTTTATTTATTTATTTTTTTTTTTTTTGAGGGTGGATAGGGTTTGGGATTGGTACAATATTTTTTACATTTTTTATTTTTTTAGGGTATTTTTTTGAGGGTGGATAGGTACTACATTGGATAAATAGTACTACATTTGTACAATATTTTTTAGATTTTTTATTTATTTATTTATTTTATTTATTTATTTTTTTTTTTTTGAGGGTGGATAGGTACTACATTGGATAAATAGTACTACGTTGGTACAATATTTTTAAGATTTTTTATTTATTTATTTTTTTTGAGGGTGAATAAGGTACTACGATGGATAAATAGTACTATATTGGTACAATATTTTTTAGATTTTTTATTTATTTATTTATTTATTTAATTTATTTATTTATTTTTTTTTTTTTTTTTTTGAGGGTGGATAGGTACTACATTGGATAAATAGTACTACATTGGTACAATATTTTTAAGATTTTTTATTTATTTATTTATTTTTTTGAGGGTATTTTTTGAGGTTGGATAGGGTACTACATTGGATAAATAGTACTATATTGGTACAATATTTTTTAGATTTTTTATTTATTTATTTATTTTATTTATTTATTTTTTTTTTTTTGAGGATAGGTACTATATTGGATAAATAGTACTACATTGGTACAATATTTTTAAGAATTTTATTGTTTTTTTTTTTTTTTTTTTTTTTTTTGTGGGTATTTTTTTTTTTTTTTGGAGGGTGGATAAGGTACTACATTTGGATAAATAGTACTACGTTGGTATTTGGTGAACAGATAGTGCTTGCAGTTTGAAATTTCCTATTTGGGGCGATGTTCATGTGTAGTCTGGACATATGGAGGTGGTTTCGGAAATGTGTACTATTATTGTACGAAAAGTACTAAGTGGTACCAAATTGGGTATTAGGTAAAAGGATTGGGCTGGAATCCTTAAATTCGATATTGTGGTCTCTGTTGGTATTTTGAATTGAGATATGGAGATGATTTCGGAAATGTGTACAATATTTGTACGAAAAGTACTAAATGGTACTAAATTTGGGATTGAAGTAATAGGTCTGGAATCCTCAAATTTGATACTGGGGTCTCTGTTTAGTATCTGAAATTCGATATTGTGGTCTCTGTTGGTATCTGCAATTGGAGGTACGGAGATGATTTCGGAAATGTGTACAATATTTGTACCAAAAGTACTAAATGGTACTAAATTTGGGATTGAGGTAATAGGTCTGGAAACCTCAAATTTGATACTGGGGTCTCTGTTTAGTATCTGATATTCGATATTGTGGTCTCTGTTGGTATCTGCAATTGAGATTAGGAGGTGGTTTTGGAAATGTGTACTATATTTGTACCAAAAGTACTAAATGGTACTAAATTTGGGATTGAGGTAATAGGTCTGGAAACCTCAAATTTGATACTGGGGTCTCTGTTTAGTATCTGAAATTCGATATTGTGGTCTCTGTTGTTATCTGCAATTGAGATATGGAGGTGGGTTTGGAAATGTGTTCAATATTTGTACGAAAAGTACTAAATGGTACTAAATGTGGTATTAACTGAAGGAATAGATCTCGAATCTCGAAATTTAATATTGAGGTCTCTGTTGGTATCTAGAATGGAGATGTGGAAATGATTTCGAAAATGTGTACCATATTTGTACCAAAAGTACTAAGTGGTACTAAATTGGGTGCAGAAATTGAACCGATGTCCTGAAATTAGATATTTTGATGATATCTGTTGGTATCCGGAATTGAGATGTGGAGATTATTTCGGAAATGTGTGCTATATTCGTACGAAAAGTACTAAGTGGTACTAAATTTGGATAATGGGCGAAGGGATAATCGTCGATTGTGGCCTATTTTCGTTTTTGAACCAAAAAAAAAAAAAAAATATTCTTAAAAAATCCTTGAAGTTCTTTTTAAAAGGAGAGCTTCGGAAAATTATCTAAAAAATAATCCTCGATTGTGGCCTCTTTTCGTTTTTGAACAAAAAAATATTCTTAAAAAAATCCTTGAAGCCCTTTTTAGAAATATTTTTAATAATCCTTGATTGTAGCTCCTTGAAAATAAATGCCTATATTAAGCACTTTTTACAATATTTAGCACTTTCCGTACAACTACAGAACGTACCTCCAAAATTACCAAGATATCTAATTTTGAGATACCAACAGAGAGCTCAATATCTAATTTAGGGATTTAAGCTCTGCGCAACTAAAGGTGGACTCAATCGAAGACATTTTTCCAAAGAACTTTTAGGAAAATTTTTAAAAAGGACTTCAAGAAGCAACTGACGACCTTAAGGATATATTTTCAAGGAGCTACAATCGAGGATTTTTAAAAATATTTTTAAAAAGGGCAAAGGGACTATGTGCTACGAAAAAGGATTTTTTAAGGATATGTCTTCTAGGATACTCTAAGAATATTTTCTGCGCAACTAAAAGAGGACAAAATCGAGGATATTTTTCAAAAGGTCTTTCAGGATTTTTTTTAGAAATTTTTTAAAAACAATGGACGAGATTAAGGATATATTTTCAAGGAACTACAATCAAGGATTATTAAAAATATTTTTAAAAAGGACTTCAAGGGTTTTTAAAAATATTTTTTTTTCAAAAACGAAAAGTGGCCACATTCGAGGATTTTTTTTGGATACTTTTCCGATTTTTTTTGGATACTTTTCAAGGATTTTTTAAGAATAGTTGTTTTTTTGTTCAAAAACGAAAATATGCCACATTGGAAGATTATGTTTTGGATATGTTTCCGAAGGTCTTTTTTCCGATTTCTAAAGAATATTTTAGAGATTAAGGATATATTTTCAGGTAGCTACAATCGAGGATATTTTTCAAAGGACTTGTAGGATTTTTTAGGAATAGTTTTTTCGTTCAGAATCGACGAACAAAAAAAAACTATATTTTTCCAAAGGTCTTTTGGGATTTCTAAAGAACATCCTTTCCTGTCCTTTTAAAAAGGACTTCAAGGATTTTTTAAGAATGGTGTCAAAATCGAAGATTATTCTTTGGATATGTTTCCGAAGGTCTTTTGAGATTTCTAAAGAATATTTTAGAGATTAAGGATATATTTTCAGAGAGCTACAATCGCGGATATTCAAGGATATTTTTTCAAAGGACTTTTAGGATTTTTTAAGAATATATTTTTTGTTCCCAAACTAAAGGAGGCCACAATGGAGGATTTTTTTAAGAATATTTTTCCAGGGGACTTCCAGGATTTTTATAGGATATTTTTCCAAAGCACTTCAAGGATTTCTTAGAACCTTTTTTTTTTTTTTTTTGCTTTCAAAATCAAAATAAGGTCACAATTTTTCAAAAAAAAACCAAAAGAGCAACCAACGAGATTACGGATATATTTTCAGGAAGCTACAATTGAGGATATTTTTTAAAGGACTTCTAGAATTTTTTTGGAATATTTTTTGCCAAAGTAACGAAGGACTCTGGATTTTTTTAGTATATTTTTAAAAAGGACTTCAAGGACTATAAATATTAAAAATATTTTTCCAGGGGACTTCCAGGATTTTTATAGGATATTTTTTTAAAGCACTTCAAGGATTTTTTAGAATATATATATATTTTATTTGTTTTCAAACCAAAATAAGGTCACAATCGATGATTTTTTAGGAGACATTTTTCCAAAGGACTTTTGGCATTTCCAAAGAATATTATTTTTTTTTCAAAAACCAAAAGAGCTATCAACGAGATTACGGATATATTTTCAGGAAGCTACAATCGAAGATATTTAAGGACATTTTTTCAGAGGACTTTTAGGATTTTTTAGAATATATTTTTTCAAACTAAAGAAGGACTTTTTTAGTATATTTTTAAAAAGTACTTCAAGGATTTGTTTTTTTCGTTTTCCAAAACTAAATAAGGCCACAATCGATAATTATTAGAAGACATTATATAATAGAAAATATATTTTTCAAAAACCAAAGGTGCAAAAAACGAGATTATTTTAAGGATATTTTTGTTTATATATTTTTCTTCTAGATTTTTTTAGAATATTTTTTCCAAACTAAAGAAGGGCTCTGGATTTTTTTAGTATATTTTTAAAAAGGACTTCAATGCTTCGTTTTATTTTTTTTTTCGTTTTCCAAAACTAAATGAGGCCACAAACGATGATTTTTAGAAGACATTTTTCCGAAGGAAAATATTTTTTTTTTTTTTTTCAAAAACCAAAGGTGCAAAAAGCTAGATTATTTTAAGGATATATTTGTTTATATATGTTAGCTTTTGTATTTTCTTTTTTATTTTTTTTATTTAATTTTATTATTTATTTATTTATTTTTTTTTTTTTGATATTTTTTAAAAATTCTCACCCATCATTTTGTCAAGTTTTTAGTTTTGTACACAACACCGATCACTTAAAAAAATAATGAAAAATGTTACGTTTTTACGTCTTTGCGTTTCGACCCTTTTTAATACTAAACAGCCAGTTGGCAATGTTTACCGGTTAAAATGTCCAAAAATCCATACCTGACACAGTTCTTATCAATAAAAAAAAAAAAAAATAATAAATAAGGTCGATATTTGATTAGTCACATCAGGAAAGGGGAATTTCATTTATCAATGGCAAGGGCAAAAAAAAACCGAAAATCGAAAATCGAAAAAATATATAGAGAGATAATATTGGAAAAAACGATAACGCTCTTATCTCAGCTATTGCAATTAAGTTTAAGTATTAACAAAACACAACAACAACAACAGGTTGAATGACAAAAAGCTTTGAAATGAAAAAAAAAAAAAAAAACAAAAAACAAAAAAAAAATAAAAAAATGTCAAATCGAAGGTCTTTGATTTTATTATTATTTTTTCCAAATCAGGATCCTTGGTTTGTAGGTGTATAAAAGTCACAAGATTCAAGAAAAATGATGATCGTCAAAAAAAAAATTATTATTATAAAAACAGGGACTCCTGGTCGCATCCATTAAGGGGGTGGTGAAAAGAAAAGATCACAAAATTAAGAAAAACCAGTAAAGAAAGTCTTAAAGTCAGGCGGGGCCGACTGTATGATACCCTACACCACTTTGCTTATTTAGTAGAGCTCCACATAACAATTAAAAGTTTTTATGGGAGAATTCAATCATACGCGCTATGATTATAATTATAATTTAAAGTTCAAAGGACTAAATATGCAGAAGCATTTATATATTTTAAATTCGGATTTGTATTGCCCATTTGGTGCAAAATTAATTTGAAATCAGACAAAAATATATATAAGAGAGCTATATCTAAATCTGAACCGATCTCGATAAAATTTGGCAAAGATTTTTCTGAGCTGTATTTCATATATTTCCCTGAATATCGTTGTTACGGAGAGCATATTACGGCTGTGGGTAACAAATCGGATGAACAATATATATGGGAGCTATAGCTATATCTGAACCGTTCTTCACCAAATTTGGCGTACTAGCTTCTAGACTCAATTCGGTAGTATGTGCCAAATTCCATGCCATTTGGACAAATATTAGACGTTTGGTGCAGAATAAAAGGTAAATCGGACGAAGTTATATATGGGAGCTATAGCTATATCTGAACCGATCTTCACAAAATTTGTGATACTAGCATCTAGATTCAATTCGTTCGTATGTGCCAAAGTCCATCCCATTTGGACAAATATTAGACGTTTGGTGCACAATCAAAGGTAAATCGGACGAAGTTATATATGGGAGCTATATCCAAATCTGAACCGATCTCGATAAAATTTGGCAAAGATATTTCTGAGCTGTATTTGATATATTTCCCTGAATATCATTGTTACAGAGTGCATATTACGGCTGTGGGTAACTCAGGTAACTCAAATTGGATGAACAACATATATGGGAGCTATAGCTATATCTGAATCGATATTCACCAAGTTTGACATACTAGCTTCTAGACTCAATTCGGTCGTAAGTGCCAAATTCCATCCCATTTGGGCAAATATTAGACGTTTGGTGCACAATCAAAGGTAAATCGGACGAAGTTATATATGGGAGCTATATCTAAATCTGAACCGATCTCGATAAAATGTAGCAAAGGTATTTCTAAGCTGCTTTTTGATATATTTCCCCAAATATTGTTGTTACAGAGTGCATATTACGGCTGAGGAAGACAAAAATAACAAATCGGATGAACAATATATATGGGAGCTATAGCTATATCTCAACCGATGTCGATCAAATTTGGCATACTTATTTTCAGGCCTAATTTGGTTGTATGTGCAAAATTCCATATTATTCGGGCTGATATTACACGTTTGGTGCACAATAAAAGGCAAATCGGACGAAGATATATATGGGAGTTATATCTAAATTTTTACCGATTATCACCAATTTCCAAAGGTTTTGTTTACAAAAATACATGGACGGACGCACGGACCGACAGACGGACTGACATGCATAAATCAACTCAGAAAGTGATTATATGGAGATCCTCTAAAGTAACTAACTCGCTTCCTTCTCCATGTTACAAACAAATGCACAAAGACATAATACCCTTACCAGTATGTGATGAAGGGTATAATAATGTTTCAGACAATTCCGTTAAAAAATGTGCCAAAAGTCGTCGAAATTCTTAAAATGTCGAAAGTCGTCGAAAGGCGTAGTACTGTTTGGTATTTTTCATTCCCAAACCACCTTCATATCTCAATTCCAGATCAAATTTGAGGATTCCAATAATAAATTAAGTACCATTTTGTACTTTTCGCACAATTATAGTACACATTTCCGAAACCACCTCCATAACTCAATTCCGGATACCATCAGTAACCTAAATATTAAATTTCAGAATTTTATCTCCATTCTTTCAGCCAATATCATATTTAGTACTTTTGAGTACTTTTGAGTACTTTTCGTACAATTAAGGTACATATTCCAAAACTATCTCCATATCGCTATTTCAGATACTATCAGAGCCCATCATATTCAATTTTAAGAAATCCAGCCCTACTGCTTCAATCAAAACCTAATTTAGTACCATTTCGTACTTATCTCTACTCCTTATCCCCATTCTCATATTTAGTGATTTTCATACAATTATAGTACACAATTGCAAAACCATCTCCATATCTCAATTACAAATATCAACAGAGACCTTAATCTCAAATTTGAGGATTTTCCGCCCTATCTCTTCACCCAATACCAAATTTAGTACCACCTTGTACTTTTCGCACAATTATAGTACACATTTCCCGAACAACCTCCATATCTCAATCCCAAACAACAACAGAGACCTCAATTTCAAATTTCAGGATTGCAGCCCTATCTCTTCACCCAAAACCCAATGTAGTACCATTTAGTACTTTTCATACTAATATAGTACACATTTCCAAAATCACCTCCATATCTCAATTACACACTCCAAAAAAGACCTCAATATCAAATTTCCAGATTATCCCCGTTCCTTTACCAAATGTCGTATTTTGTACTATTTAGTACTTTTCGCACAATTATAGTACACATTTCCAAAATCACCTCCATATCTCAATTCCAGACAAAAAAAGAGACCTCAATATCAAATTTCCAGATTATCTCTATTTCTTCACCCAATACCATATTTAGTACGGTTTTGTACTTTTCCCACAATTATAGTACACAATTGCAAAACCATCTCCATATCTCAATTCCAAACACCAACAGAGACCTCAATTTCAAATTTCAGGATTTCAGCCCTATTTTTTCATCCACAACCCAATGTAGTACCATTTTGTACTTTTCGTACGCTATATAGTCCACATTTCAAAAACCACCTCCATATCTTAATTCCAGACACCAACAGAGACCGTTGTATGAAATTTATGGAATCCAGCCCTACTTCTTCGACCAAAACCTAATTTAATACCATTTCGTACTATGCCATATTTAGTACTAGTCGTTCAATTATAGTACACAATTTCCAAACCCACCTCCAGATACAAAGAGAGGCCTCAATAACAAATTTGAGAATTAATGGCCTTTTTCGTCACTCAATACCAAATTTAGTACCATTTAGTACTTTTCGTACCAATATAGGATGGATTTCCCAAACCAACTCCATATCTCAATTCCAGATATCAACAGATATCTCAATGTCGAATTTCATTATTTCAGCTCTTTTCCTTCACCTAATACCAAATGTAGTACCATTTAGTACTTTTCGTACCAATATAGGATGAATTTCCCAAAACCCCCATCAAATCTCAATTCCAGACACCAACAGAGACCTCAATATCGAATTTTAGGATTCGAAATCATATTCATTCAACCAATACCAAATTTGGAACCATTTTGTACTTTTCGTACAATTATCGTGCATATTTTCGAAACCACCTACATATCTCCATTCAATTTAGACATTTAGAAAAAAAATCCTGAACTATGGGTTATTGGCGCTTGAAAAAAAAAACTCCCCATGTATTTATGTGAGCTTTAGTGGTGGTCTTATCTGATTGACTCATTATTAGTTGCTCGACGTTTGTTAATAGCTCTTGTCCAACCAAGATAACACGCTTATCTAATTGGCTCTGCTGCGAACAAACACATGGGTGAGTGATTCATGCGTATGTGAAAAATAGAAGAAAAATAAATATATCACACATTATTATGCATTAACAAAAAACAAAAAACCGAACTGGGGCAAGCTTTTTCAGACCTTTCTCAAAACGTGAATAATTTTTATACCCTATGTGTATGGTCAGAATAGAACCCTATTGCTTTTGGAGTTGATAGCATAATATTTAGGCGTTGAAATGCACCAAAAACTGAAAAATTTCCTGATTTTGCAGTTGCTCTACTGGTTGCAATTATAGACCAATTGACGCGAAGGTCAGCATGGGCCTAGAGCTTAGGACTGAGCAGAAGCCTTCCAATTTTGATGGTCATCGGATAATATTTAGTGGGTGAAATAGACCATAACATTTGTGTTGAATAAAAGTCCAATTTTCTATTAAACCGCGAATATTTTTTTAATTCCGGCGAAATCACAAATAGACGAACAGGTCAATTCTGACCATTACGTAGATGCCGCTGATGGCTTATGCTTATGGCCCGATATTCACGAAATTTAGAAATGATGTAGGGCTAGAGCCTGATTAGAAGTCTATTGCTTTTGGAGATGATCGCATAATATTAAGAGGTTGAAATGGACCAAAAACTGAAAATTTCCTAATTTTGCAGTTGCTCTACAGACCTTTATAAAGGTCACACAGAGAAACCAAAGGACATGAAATCTCGCATAAAGTTAGAGTTTAGGACAGCGGGTACAATGTAGTGTTGTAGGGTATCACATGGTCGGCCCAGCACGGCTATAGCCTTTGCTTACTTGTTTTTATACCCTCCACCATAGTAAGGAGGGTATATTAAGTTTGTCATTCCGTTTGTAACACCTCGAAATATACATTTTAGACCCCACAACGTATATATATTCTTGATCAGCATAAAATTCTATGCCGATTTAGCTATGTCCGTCCGTCTATCTGTCTGTCCGTCTGTGG